TAAACTGTATCCCATATCCCAACCTTTTTTTTTCAAGACAGGGTTTCACTAAGGGTGCCCAGGCTGGAGTTTTTCAAAATTGTTTTAGCTATTTTAGGATCTATAGTTTTTCCATATAAATGTTACAATAAACCTATGTCTACCACAACTTACTGAAATTTGAGAGGAGTTATATTAAATTGATAGATGAACTTGAGGAGAATTGATTTCCTTACTATATTGAATTTTGTAATCCGTGAACATATGGTATCTCTCCATGTATGTAGGTCATCTTTATTTGGTTCATCATCACCATTTTTTAGTCTTTAGTAAACAGATCCTGTATATGTCTTGTTAAAATTACACTTAGGTGTTGCATTCTCCCTGAAGTGACTATAAATGCCCACATGTTTGTAGTTTTAGTTTCCCTTTGCTTATAGTTAATGCACTGAGTTCTGCATGCTGATGTTGTATTCTATGGTATTGATGAACTCAGTTATTAGGTCCAAGGGGTTGTTTTAGTTATTGATCCCTTAGGGTTTTCTATGTATGGAATCATGTTATTTGCGAACAGGTACAATTTTCTTTCTTCTTTTGTTTCCTTTCCATTCTGTATGATTCTATTTCTTTTCCTTTCTCTTTTTCCACTATTACACTGACAAGGACTCTCAGTGCTAGGTTAATTAAGAGAGTAAGAGTGGATATTCTTACTGCATTCCCACTCTTAAGGTGAAAGCATTCAGCATTTCACTATTAAGCAAAATATTAGCTGTAAAGGTTTTTATTTTTTATCAAGTTGGGGAAGTTTCTCTCTATTGTAGGTTGCTAAAGATTTTTTGAAAATCATGACTAGGGGCTGGATTTTATTAAATGCATTTGTGCATCAATCGATATAATCACAGTATCTTTCTTCTTTGGTCTGATGATATCTTGAATTTTACTGACTGGTTTCAAATATTGAACCCACCTTGCACACTGGGAATAGTTCCCCCTTGATCGTGATGTATAGTTATTTTGATATGTTGAGAGTCAACCTGCTAATACTTTGTTGAAGAATCTTGTGTCTAAATTCATAAGAACTATTCTGTAGTTTTCACTTTGGTCTGGTTTTGGTATTGAGGTAATATTAGCCCCATGCAATGAGTTGAAACTTGCTTTCCCCTATTTTCTAGAAAATTGTGCAAGAGAAATCTTCCATTTAAAAAATGCTGGCCAAAAAAGTGCTGGAAACAATTATTTGTGTGCCTTTTGTGGACCCAACAATGTACCTACAAGCTGGAGTTGGCGCAGATCCCCCTCCTGGCTCTACCCTTGAAACCACGTTCCATCTTGTGCTTGGGTACAGGAGGGCATGCCATCAGTTAAGAGCTCTCCACACCGGACATAGTTTTTTTTTTGGTACCAGGAATCAAACTCAGGACCTTGTGCTTGCCGGGCAGGCACTATGCCTCTGAGCTACATCACTGACCCCACATTGGACATACTTTGGCATTTATTCTTCCTCATTAACAAACCAAGAAGCTCAGCTTCAACCTTTTCCCTGAGGCCTCTTGGATCTGTTTGGACACCAAACTCCTTACAGGCCACTGTTAGCTACAAATAGGATAGAGCAGTGGTTCTGACCCCAGGGTGACTTTATCCCCCAGCAGGTATTTGGCAATGTCCAGAGATAATTTTGGTTAGCACAACAGATTCGAGGTACTACTGGCATCTCATACACAGAAGTCAGAGCTGCTGCAAAATATTCTAGAATGTACAGAATAGTCTCACACAGCAAAGAGTTACCCAGAACCCAATAGCAGCAGTGCCAAGGTGGAGGAATCCTGAGCAGAGGAACATTTGCCTTGCCTGCTTTGATAGAACTTCTGAGTGTGGTAAGTAAGCTTCCCTGACCTGAGGTGAATGTCACCATGAGATGGTAGTTTTGGGTGGCTTACGTTTTTCTTCCCACTATCTTTACTAAACCACCCTGCTCAGAATGGAATGCTTATTGTCTAGCTACCGTAGACTCACAGAAATAGAATTGCTTTCAAATAAAGGGTAAGGACTTTTGAAAGGCTTTTCCTCTTATGTTGCCAAAATGCTTGCCAGAAAGGTGGTATTGACTAAGCTTCTCTTATCGTGGCATGAGGGCCCATCTCCCCTGTCCTTGCAAACAAGGGCATTTCAATGCTTCAAGGCTTTACTAATCAAAACGATCAAAATGCTCCAAGGATTTAAATACCCTTATCCCACACTCTTTTGCTATCTCTTCCCTCACTTTACATGTCCCGCCAGGTCCCAACCCCATCCTTCCTTCTCAGTTTCTGTCCAGCTGGAGGAATCAGGAGATGCTTCCCTGGCTTTGCAAGTTTTCGCATCTCCAAACTCAGCCAGGCACGAGGCCCCAGGACTTGCAGGGACTGCCCTTAGGATTCCAGGACTGGAATAAGCTTTGCCTTCCGTAGAGAAACAGATAGGAATGAAGTGTTGGGATGTTTGGCTGCTGACCCCATGGAGCTTGTTTCAGATTGTCTTTCCACATCTCCCGGATATCTTTACTTAGATCACCCACAGCCAGCCGAGTTCCTCAAACTTAGCTTCTCTCCCTGACCCTCTCCTGCTCCTGAATTCCTTCTCCTGGGCAGGATAATTTACCTTGCTATCCAAGACCAAAATCTGGAGATCACCTCTGACTTTGCCCAATAACTACCCACTCGTCTATTAATTAATTAATGGCTGGCCCTTTAGATTTCCTAATTTTTAGTATAATTAAGGCTTTGGGGGTTTGCAAGAGTCAGAAGCTGTCTCTAATGCCTTTAAGCAGAGAAAGGAGTTGTTGACTTACAGAACTGAGAAGTCTGCAAGCTCTAGCCCCAATGTTGGCTGAGTCCAGAAATTCAAAAGATGATGCAGCAGTTCTCTCTGGAACTTGCTGTATTTTCCTCTGTAGTTCCGTAGTATTCAGGCAGGTGCCATCAGATCAGGAAAAGGAAAAGATACCCCCGGCAGCTCTGTCCTTCCGTGTTTCTCCCAGAGAGTCCAGCTCATTACCCGCCTCTAAGGAATTAGACCACCGCCAATTATTCCATATGCACTTTCTGAGATCAGTCATTGTGCCCAGCGTAGAGGGTTCTCTTGTAATCAGCCCAAACCATAGACTAGCGCCCTGTGAGGCACAGGTGAGCCCACCTCGATCATCATCCGTCAACATAGCTTGGAGCAGTTTCTCAAAGGACAGAGAGGCAACACAGATCCATTCCATTATCTTGTCCAACAGTTTTCCCCGTTGCCAGCCCTACCAGACACCTGGATCATTGTTGACCCTTCCAAACTGATTTCTCTGCCTCCGAGGGCTCCCCTGTCCCACCCAGGCTCCCATTTCTCTCTGGAGGTGTCTCATCTGTGAAGATGCACTTGGGGTCCCTGCATCCTGTTTACAAGTGAACGCTTGGAAAGACAGATGTGACCTGAACGAATATTCTGTGCATAGAATAAGGAACGAGTGTTGCAGACCAGCCATGTCATCAAGGCAAAGGATGAGGAACCAGCCTGCCCAGACCTAACCGTTGTCATGTTTAAATACCATCAGGCCACGGCTTCCTCTCTCTTCTCTGATTTTATGTGGTGGCCACAGACAGGGCAGGAATACATTGCACAGTTTCAGCCTGGGATAGAAACCAGAAGTCCTGCGGGGCTCCTGTTCTCTATGGCTTCTGCTGACAGTAAGACTCCTTTGCTTTCAGCAAGAGGACGCCAACTTGCATAACGTCATCCTATGGCCTCCAAACCCTGATCCTCTGCAGGTATGGCGCATGTGGCGTGCTGCATGGTGCCTCCCTAACATCTAGATGGCTGCAGCATGTGGTGTGACATGTGTGTTTGAATATTTAGGTTTTCTCTCCCTTCTTCTCTATTGCCTATTCCCACCTACCCCCAGTAAGTTGTAAAACTCAGTAGAAATCAACTATACATGTTTAGCTTTTTAGAAATAACATTTTGGTGTGTGTGTCCAAGAACTGGCTTGGTTGATATGCTGTGAGATGCTGAATAAGACTTATAGAACACAGATGCTGGGAGCCAGTACTAATCCTTCTGGACTCTGATACTTTGATTTTCTTGGTCCTGGACTGAGGTTTGGAATGGTGTGGAGGCCTCACCTCTGCCATCACTGATTTTATGATTGATTTTTCATAAAAAATACATTAAATTTGGAATCAGCAGCTAGTGTCATTATGCAATAATGCACCAGCTGAGTTCACAGTTCTTCCTCTGCTTAAGGTGTTGGCCATCTGCTGGAGGGAGGGAAGGAAATTAAAGAGCTTTGCTTCCATTTCACAGTAGGTTTTCCTGGAGCAGAGGTGGAGGGTAGTGTTTGCTTGTGAGTGTGGTTCAGGGGGCAGTGAAGAACCCATCTTCTCATAGACCTGCTATAAAATCCCCATCATACCTGTCCAGGTGTGTCATCCACATAAATGTTCTTTGCTTTAAGAAAGGCTGCTCTACACCTGACAGTGGCTGCTAGGTAAGTGTACTGATGCCTTTGTTTTTCTGCATATTCCAGCAAGGAGTGGTATTTGAGGTTGTGAAACAACATAGCTTATTGTATAGAGTGTGGTGAAGCTTTCACACCACATGTATGGTGTGTGACTTTATCTGGCCCTCCTCATGATCCCATGAGGTGGACAGGCCCAGGTGATTACCCTTGTTTTGTAGTCAAAGAAAGAGGCTCAGAAGGATAATCATTCCATGTCACTTGAATGAGTGGCGGAGAGTCAGAACCTGGTCTCCAGAGGGTCAGAAAGAATGGCTAGGCCAGTGGTTTTCAAACTGTGCTCTAGGGAATCCTGGAGGCTTCAGAATTGCTTCGAGGACAGGCGCAGGGTTAAGGGGAAAGTTGAGAGGAGGGAATCTAAACCACCAACCCACTCACTGTCCATCAGTGAAGCTTGCCTTGCATGGCCTTAGATGGTAAGGCTTCTGGGAGAAAATATTTGGGAATTAGAGTGGGAAGTCTGCCTCCATCTGTTCCCCTCCCATCATTTTTCAGTTTTGTGTGGTCGGTAGGAAGGGCAAAGCAGTTGTGCACTGCTACCATCAGTGAGAGTTAGGGACGAGAAGCCAGTTTGGAGACCTTTAGTCCAGGGCTCCTAAAGATGCCTCTGCCAGGGGAGGAGCACTGGGGTCTGGCTTAGGACGCCACACAGCGCTGTGCAGCAGCACTAGAAAGCTCAGTCACAAACTCCCACCCAGGGGCCATTCGTGGAAAGTTTCGAGTGGCAGGAGCTTGTTTAGATGCTATGGGCGCGTAGGGGAGCAAAACCAACAAGGTTCTCTCCTCATGGAATGTACATCTAGTGGGGAGCCAGACAAGCAAGCGAACAAATGGAAACAACCAACAAGTAAATGCAATGTTTTTATTCAGCACAGATGGAACTGGAGATCATGATGTTAGGTGAAATAAACCAGGCACAGAAAGATAAGTATGATGATCTTACTCTTATGTGAGGCCTCAAACACTTTGATCTCATAGAGGTTAAGAATAAAATGGTGGTTACCAGGGCATGGGGGCATGGGCCAGAGGGAAAAAGTTGGTCAACAGGTATTAAGTTACAGTGAAATAGGAATAAGAGGCCCCAAACAACAGGTAACCTACTATGCATCTCAAAAAGCTGGAAGAAAAGATTTTAAATGTTTTCATGATAAAGAAATAATAAAAGTTTGAGAAGATAGATATGTCTGACCTGATCTAAACCTTACACAATACAAGTGCATATCAAAACATCACATGGCACTCCATGGTTATGGTGTAGATAAAATGGCCCCCAAAGTCTCATATGTTCAGATGTAGAGCTTTTGGAAACGAAATGGATCATGGGAGCACTCTACTCATCAGTGGATTTGTCTATTGACGACTTTATACAGAAGGTGCTGCTTGGAGGTAGAGCCCGGTCAGAAAGGTGGGTCACTTGGGGTGTGAACTGGAAGGGTGTATTCTTGTCCACGGCGCCTCCCTTGTCTCTCTCTACTTTCTGGCTGCCGTAAGGTGAGCAGCTTTTCTCCACCATGCTCTTCTGCCATATTGTTCCTGCCTTGGAGCCAACCAACCATGAACTAAACCTTCTGGAAATACGAGCCAGCAATAAACCCCTCTCCCTTTGCTCTGTCCAGTATTTTTTGTTCCAGCAATGGGAAAGTGACTAACACACACTTTAACATGTACAATTTTTATTTTTTGTAGCAGTTGAAATGAATTTAATTAATTAAAAAAGAGCTCATGGAGTGCCTACTGTTTACTAGGCTCTATTCTAGCATTTAAATGATTCAGCTTTGGCCTGCCTTTATGTAGTTTCCCTTTTTCACAAGGAAAACAGACAAAAAGCCAGTCAACAAGTCAGCATTCTGTAATATTGCTTCCCAAACAGGGCCTTTCTGTTTTGTCTTCCTTTCTTATGGTGCTAATGGAGAACAGAATTTACCCTTTCCACCATGTTTAACTGTACAGTTCTGTGGCTCATTATTCTAGACGGATGCAGAGGCCCTGGGATAATAGCAGGCAAGAATTCCTGGGAGACCAGAGGGGCATGACTGGGGGTGCAGGACATTCTTGTAGGAGGAGGAAAGAGATGTTCTTGGTGGCATCAGGGCCCAAAAGGGGCTCTGGCTTTGCAGGTGGGGAGAGACAAAATGGCTCAGAAGTAACATTAGTGAGCAATAAGTTCTCTAACTATTGCCAAGCCTGACATTCTGTGAGTGTGGGGGAAAGGTCAGCTAGCCCTTGACCGGGTTGCAAGTTAGTGGGTTCTTGGGGGTCAGTCAGGAGTTAGGCAAGGTGAGGAAGTCAAGGGTCTGTTCTGTGAAGATCCTGAGATATTCGAGGAAGGGGTGGATTGCTGATCGGGGGGCAGAGAAAGGGGTAGGGGTGGAGAGCCGGTGAGACGACACAGAGGCGTATGCAGCGGGCATGGGACTTGGAGGAGGAGCTACAGGTGCCTGGGTGGCAGGACCTCCATGCACTCACTGAGGGAAGTGGAGGCATCAGCATCTTCTCTGCGCCTCTTGGCAGGGGGCCAACAAATTATGTGAATTGAATTTGCTCTTGAAATTTATTGGCAACGACCAAACTGTTGAATTAATTACTGACTGTTTTCCTTTATTCAAGAGGTCAAGTTTAATAATATCGCAGCAGTCCTACTCTTGGATCCCGCTGATTAGTCACGGTTGTTTTTTGTTTCATCAGCACAAACGCTATTTAGGCTGAAACTTAGTAATATGGCTTCAGTTTCCGTTCTGTGTTCCAAGGGAAGAGAAGCCAGTGACAAAGAAAAATTCCTACTCTAGACTGCAGCCTGATCCACCAGTTTGAGGGTGTTTCCTTTTAGTGAGGTGAGGCCTTTCGACCTCAGATCAGACCCTTGCCGCTGCTTTTACTTCACTCTGAGTCCTGCTTGTTATTCCTGCTGCTTCCTTCCCATGACTGACTCACTCAGACCTCTTGGCAGGCCTCAGGCTGGCGGCACTGAATCTCCTCAGATGCAGCCCCAAGCCTGGCCTTTCCTCCCCAGGGAGCCCCCTCCTTGCACATACGCTGGTTGGAAATGAAAAGAAAGTTGTATGTATAACCAAGTCTGCGAGGCCAGTGGGATGTTGAATGTTGGGCCAAGATGAGCCTCCAGCATCCCTGCGGTGTCCGGTCCTGGTTTGTGTGAGTCCTTGCTTGGGACAGAGATGGTGGCAGAGCTGGCTCAAGCATGGCCTCCACATGATAGCCCTTCCTAGGGATCAGGCATCATGGCTGGCATGAAAACCTCCATGGTAAAAGAAGGGCCATGCCAGCCTGTGATTCCCAAGTCATGAAAGTGGCTATGACAGTTGTTCAGTTCTGGGAGCCCAGAAAGGGCACATGAGCTCTCATTACACTGATTCCAGAGAGGAAGAGCAATGCCCGAACCTGCCCAGGTAGCCACTTTCTGGATTACACCAGGGCCATGAGCTTGTCACCACCCTGGTCTATGACTCTGAAGGAGTAGAGAGCCAGAGACAGACATTCAGTCCTATTGTAATAAGGACCTAACTTAAAAAGGACTCCTTTCAACCAGTTCCACGGTCTGGGTGTTTCTGCAGCTAGAGGCTCAGAAAACATGATTTTCAGCTGTGGAAACAGTGGTCAGTGTGGTGAAGCAAGAAGACAGGTGCAGAGGCCCGGCTGGGCTGCTTCTCTGGGGGCTGTTGTATGCACTCCCCGCTGGCAGTGAGCAGGCAGCCAGCGAGCTCAGAGGACTCCCAGCCCAGCCCTCACCCAGGCACATCACTCGGGTCCTGGCTCAGTGCACACGAAGCATCCGGGGGCTAAGGGTGGCTCCTGGGGAAGCCTCAGCACTGTGGGCTCTGCTGCAAATTCTCTGGTCCTCATTTCTGCCAGGCTGAGGTCAACTTTTTCTTGTTATTATTTTGCATCATAGATGAACAGCCCATAAGCACACGTATGTGTTGTTGACAGCTACAAATGCCCGGTGCTGAGTGGAACCAAAAGATACCATCTTCAGTTCTGAGGAACCCAGGACCCTAGACTAGTGCTGTTTCTTAGTCACTTTCTTTGTCCTTGAGACACAATACCCGACACCCACAATTTAAAGGAGGAGATTTATTTCGGCTCACAGTTTTCGAGGTTTCAGTGCACTGTGCAGTATGTCCCCTCCAAGGCAGGGTGGTATGGCATGGTGAAGGGGCATGGTGAAGGAGTGCTACTCGACACATGGCAGACAGGAAGTGGACAGCCTTCAGGGGAGGAGCTGTGAAGGGAGAT